CACCAACCCCGTCCCCCCACCAGCGCCAGCCCGCGGGGGCGGCTTCAGCCCCCCCGCAGGGCACTGAGCCAGTCAGGCCGTCGCGCCCCGTCCACGCTCCTACTGTTGCAGGCTGCGAGGCTGCGGCTCCTCCGTCCTCAGGGGGCGTGGCCCCAGCGGCTTCAGCCCTGGGACCGCGCGACACCCTCCAGTCGCCTCGCCACGGCGACGGCCGCCAGCGCACGGACCGCCGCACCGCGCTGGTCCACCACCTGGCCAGGCGCACCGATGACCTCGTCCCCGCCGCGAGGCCCGCGGCCGCGGGCACAGAGCAGCCGCCCCGCACCGACCGCGAAGCCGAGCTGTCCCAGTCTACGGCCGCTCTCCAGCAGAGGTGCGCAGCTCTCGCCGCCGACCTTGCCGCTGCCCAAGCCCGTCAAGGCCCTTTGCTCCAGCGCCTCCACCGCGCCGGTCGTGCCTTCGCCGAGCTGCTTACACCCCCGCCCGATGGTGCTGCGCCGCCACTCACCCTCCATGCTATGCTGTCATCGCTCCGCGGCGCTCCGCCTGGAGCCCCGCGCTAATCTCCGCCATTCTGCCTGCCCGTGTGCACGCGTGGCCCCGCGTCCACGGTGTCAGGGCGTGGGGGCGGGGGGTGCCCCGTCCCTGCGCGCCGCGCTGCGGCCAAGCGCCCAACTGGCGGTCTGCCAAGCCGCCTAGCCACGTGTCCGCACGTCGCCTTTCTTGTTGGGGCCTTCTTCGTCACGCGGTCTGACACGTGAGATCTTCACAGTCTGTCCGCCGTCCGTAGCTTCAGACGCAATGCGCCGGGGGAGGGGGTCTGTTGCCCGCCCTCGTATCTTAAGGCTGCACCGCCGCTAATAGTGTTTTGCGGGTTGTCGCACCGCAGTGCGCCTCGCGGACGGACCCTGGTCCGCCTACTTGTCCGGTCTCTCTCTCTCTCTCTCTCTCTCTCTCTCTCGCGTTTTTATTATTATTATGGTTTTTCTCTCCTCATCTCTCTCTCTCTCTCTCTTTCTCTTTCTCTTTCTCTTTCTCTTTCTCTTTCTCTTTCTCTCTCTTTCTCTCTCTCTCTCTCTCTCTCTCTCTCTCTCTCTCTCTCTCTCTTTGTTTTTTTTTGTTTTTCTCCTTCTCTCTCTCTCTCTCTCTCTCTCTCTCTCTCTCTCTTGCCACTGCCTTCGGCGCTGGGTTGAAGAACTGCGCCCCGGGCAGCCGTTCCCAGGCTGACCTGGCCAGGCTCAGGTGCTTTGGTTGAAAAGAAACTCGGCTTGTGTGTCGCGTTTTCGGCCTTCTTAAAGCCATTGCCAACTCCTGGGCCACGTCTCGCCGATTCCTAAATTGTCGCCAGCGATGTAAGTTTGGCTGCTACGCTGCAGGAGGTGATGGCATTCCCCAGTGTATGTCGCGCCCGCGCTTGCTTCCTACTGTCCGTGCCTCTCTGCCCGCGCTTCCAATGGACTGGGGTGGAGACGCCTATGATGGCTTCATTCTCTCCTCGGCCAATTTCGAGAATGACATGCCTGCGTTGTTCTCGAACGCGTTGACGGCCGATGGGTTGCACGTCGCCTTCAATCAGCAACGTGCCAGTGAGTCGACAAGGCCAGGCGCTGCTCGCCTCGCGTTTTACGCGCGGCCTCGTGATTTGGCAATCCGCTCATGAGCAGCGAGAGAGTTCATAGCAATCAGATCGAACATGGATTGATGTTTTGCCCTGTTACAGTCAAGTGCTCTTTTGCGCCTGCCCTCGCCTCGTTATCAAGTCTGGTCATGACTCGGTCGCCCCCCCCCCCCCCCCACCCCCCCTCCTTCTCATATCCAGGTTGTTGTCCAACAGAACAAGTAGAGCGTGGGCACGTTATCCACCCAGATGCGCGGCGCGCTGGGTTGTTTCTTGTTGCGGGGTGGGAAGGGGGGGGGGGGGGGGGGACATAGCGCATCCTCCTCCTCTTCGATCGCCTCCTCCTCCTCCTCCTCCTCCTCCTCCCCCTCCTCTTCCTCCTCCCCCTCCTGCCCCTACTCCTGCTCCTACTCCTGCTCCTAGTCCTACTCCTGCTCCTGCTCCTACTCATCCTCCTCTCAGGCCCTGCCGAGCCCGTCTAGCCCCCCATGCGAACTCTTGCTGAGCCTTGCTAGCCCTTGCTAAACCTTGCTAAGTCGTGGTAGGCACTGCCGGCTCTTGCGAAGCACTGCTGGGCCCTGGCAGCTCGTGGTAAATCCTGTCAGTGAGCCCTGCCAGCTCCGGCTGAGCCCTGCTAGGTCCTGTTGTTAAGTCACGTTGCGGAGCCTTGCTAGCGCCATGCCGAGTCACGATATGCTCCAATCAGGTGTGCCAGGCCCTCCAAAAGTATGCCAAGTTTTACCGGCACTTGCTAGTTTCGTTTGCAATGGTAACTCTTGCGAGGCAGTGTTAAGACGTCCAATGCCATGGCAGGCCTTGCGAAGCCCTGCGGCGCCCCCTATCAAGGTGTGCTTCGCCAATTTAGGCTTTGACGTGCTATACGAACCCATGCTAAGCCCTTGCAGGCCCTGATGAGCCGTGCTAGGCCCCTGCGGAGCTTTGGTGGCGTCTGCTTTGCCTTGATAAGCTCTGCCGAGCCATGAGGTTCCCTTGTGAGCCACGCCAGGCCCTGTGAAACCCCGGCCCCGCTAAGCCATTTTACGCTTTGCTATGTCATGCGTAGCCCAGCCATGGCCTGCCACGCCCTGCCAGGGTTTGCTAAGCCCTGCGAGGCCGGGCCAAGCCCCGCTACGCCCTGCTGCGTTATGCCAAGCATTCCGTACCGCTGCTAAGCCACGCTCAGTTTTCTTACGCCTTGGCATGGCCAGCGAAGCGCTGCTAAGCACGGTTCAGCCTTGCGGGGGCCTGCTACGCTACGCAGAGCCGAGTTCATCTCTGATGAGCCAACGTTGGCTCTGCCAGACAGTGCAAAGCTTCGTTCGGCTCTGGTATGCCCCGCTGGGCGCTGATGGGTAATGATCGTTTAGGCTCGGCCCCGGTAAACCATGCTGTGGAATGCTAAGCCATAGGACGCCCTGTTGCCCAGCCCCCCAAAGGCAAGCGAGGCGTCGTTCAGCTGTGATGAGTCTTGATGATCCCTGGTAAGCAACGTCAGCTCCTCCCAGACATTGCTACGATGTGCTAAAATTGTAGTACCCTTTTTGCTAATCACTGCGAGTCTCTGCTCATTCCTGTTAAGCCCTGTTACGCATTGCTACGTCCTGCCTAGCCCTGCTGAGGTACGCTTAGCTACCTAGGACTGAGTCCTGCTAGGTCTTGCAAGGCCTTCCTGACCTTGCCAAGTCCTGACAAGCTTTGCTTCGGCATGAGTAGCCTTGCCAGGCCAATCTAAGCCCCGCTAAGGTCTGCCCAGCCGAGGTGTGTTCTGCTAAGCACTGATCGAGTGCGCCACGCCTTGCACGGCTCATTGTCAGGCTATGCTGGGCTCTGCTAGGCAATGCAAGGCCCCGCTGAGTTCTCACATGCCCTGCAGAGCCCTGCCACGCCTTGCTGGGCTTGTGAGTTGTGTGAAGCCCTGAAAGACGATGCTGAGCAGTGCTAAATATTGGCATGTCAGGCCAGGCCCTGTTTGTCTTAACCCTTGCTCGGCCCTGCCACCCTCTGGTATGCTCCGCCTGGCTATGGTGGACCTGAGCTTTGGCAGGCGTTCCCATGCCTTGCTGAGGCCATGACATTGCCAGCGCCTTGCTGAGCCATGCGGGGCATCATTAAATCCTGCTGAGCCCTGGTAAGTATTGCCAGGCCCCCTTCCCCGCGAAGCCCTGTTGAGGATCGTTGAGCTTCCAAGGCCCTGCTGTGCCTTGCAAAGCCTTGCTGGGCCTTGCCAGGTCCAGACAAACCTTGTTTCGGCATGCGTAGCCTTGTTGAACCATGCTAGGCCCTGCTTCGACGTGCCTGGCCGAGTCATGCTCTGCTGAGCGCTGGTCGGCTGGTTTGGCATTTGTTTGCCCTGCTGAGTTCTGATCTGCTACGCGAGGCCATGCGACGCCTTGCAGAGCTTCGTGGGCCCTGTTAAGCCTTGAGAGGCGATGTTGGGTAGTGCTGGGCACTGGTAGGCCAGACCAGGCCCTGCTAAGCCCTCATGGGCCTTCCAGCCCTTGCTCAGCCCTACTACCCTCTTGCTATGCCCTGCCTGACTGTGGTAGATCTGAGCTCTGGCAGGCATTGCTAAGCCCTGCTAAGGTCTACGAACGCCTGCCATGGCATGGTAAGCCCTGCAGGGCCATGCTGAGTTTTGCTAAATCCTGTGAAGACCGTGTCGATACTGCTAGGGCCCCCCCCCCCCCTCTAGGCACCGCGAGGCTCTGCGAGCACATGCGAAGGCCTGCAAAGCCCTTCCAGGCCATCGTATGCGCTCGCCCCGATACGGCCTGCGAAGCGGCGACTATCCTATGCCCAGCTTGGCCTCGCTAGGCGAAACCATGCCAAGCCGTGATATGTGCTGATAATCAGTGCTAAGCCTTGCTAAGACTTGCTAGCCCTTGATAGGGTTTGGCGGCCATGCTCGCTCCTCCTCAGCATTGCTAATCCTTGCAAAGCCCTGCTAGGCACCGGTAAGCCCTGCCATGCATGCGCGTTCCTGGCTTGCGCGTCTCACGTATGCAATCCATGTTTCGCAGGGGGGATATATATATAGAGAGAGAGAGAAAAAAAGAGAGAGAGAGAGAGAGAAAAGAGAGAGAGAGAGAGAGAGAAAGCGAGAGAGAGAGAGAGAGAACGCGAGAGAGCGCGAAAGAGAAAGAGCGAGAGAGAGAGAGAGAGAACATCAACAAACACATGTTCGGAAACATACGAAGAAAAGAACGGTAACTGCTAGCAAAACCCTGGAACCCTCAGGGGCTCCACTATCCCCAGCCCCGAGGAGGAGGAGGGAGGAGGAGGAGGAACAAACGCAACGGCAACGTCGAGATCGACAGCGATGCCGCCAGCGCCAGCACCATGAAGAGGAGGACGACCCTCGCCCCACCGCCGGGAGGACCAGCCTGAGACCGCCGCCCCAGGGCTGGAGGCGCAGCGGGCGCCAGGCAGCGGCGGTCAGGGCGGGGGGGTTTTCGCGAGCGCCGTTCCCTTTTTCCGCCTCCGCCTCCTCCTCCTCCTCCTCCTTTTCCTCCTCCTCCTCTTTTCGTTTTCCTTATGAATAACTCCCCCCTGTCGCACCCCGAGGCCAATCGGAAGGGTGGGCCAGGCGTTTCGCCTGAGATTTCCTTATCATGTATGAACCTCAAGCTTGACCATTGGCCACAGCTTCGCAGATGAAAGGCGGGTCATTTCCAATCTGGGGCCCTCGCCTGAACGCCCCGCACATTTGCTTCCAAAATTTGCAAGACACGCACGGATTGAGGACAGGTGGCTTTCAACGAGTGGCTCGCGCTTCAGCGCCGCGCACATTCGTTTTACACATTTGTAAAAGCTTCACGGATTGAGGGCGGTACGTTATCACTGTGTGTTTTTCGCACCATTGCCGCGCAGCACATTCGTTTTCAAAAGATGCAAAAGTTTCACGGATTGCGGGCGGTTCTTTTTCAAAGTGTGGTGTTCGTGTCAGCGTCGCGTGCACTATGGTTCAACAGTGTGCTTGACCTTCACGGATTGAGGGCGGTTCCTTTTTCAACATGTGGTTCTCGATGCAGCGCCGCGCACATCGGTTTAATATAATGCAAGTGTTTCATTGGCTATCATGAGTAACCTAGCAGATGTTGGATCGGTTCTGGGCTGTTTCGGCGCAACAGTTATGAAGAGCTTCACGGGTTCCCATGGTCAACGTACCAGATATGGAGTGTTGCAGAGATTCCGGAATTTGAGGGTGCAACAACTACGTTTGTTCGCGGTGTTGAAGTTCCAGGAATGGCGTTCTTTAGCGATTCAGGATCGCCAAAGCGCAACAGTCAGGGTGGTTCGGGGCGTTGAAGTCCTGATCGTTTTTTGTTGTTTCCTTTTCTGGGGCACGCTTCTGAATCTTCAAACGGCTGTCTCCAAGCAGGGTCCTTTCTTTCCCAGGAAATGAATGGTGTCTCGAACGATATTGCGATTGCCCGCAGGCGGTGGCGTGCTCCGAATGTGTCTGTGCGTCGCCGCCGTCGCCTCCCCAGCCAACGCGTGAGGTGCCACTGGATTTCTTCAACAGCGCCGCCAGCATCGCCACGACCAGCTGTGCCGAATCCTTTTGGTTTAGCGGCCGCATCGGAGCCTTTGCAGGTGCAGTAGTTGGTGGTACAGTTCCGCGCGTGTGTTGCTCTATGAGGATCGGGAGCCCTCGGGTGACGGGTCTTGGCTGAATGGTGAAATGACGGCGCATGTCAGGGAATATATCCTAAGGGCTAACGTTACGGTCGGGTACGAGGACGACGACTGCGGTCACGTCGGGCTTCTTATGCGTGAAGCGAAGTCTGGTTAAAGTTAGCGTTGTTGGTCCATTGCTTCGCCTGACGCCGGCAATTGCGCTGATGCGATGCACGTTGCGGGCATCGAGGTGCAACGCGGTCGGTGGTGTTGCGGGTTCGCACCGTGCAACAATCGATGCCCAAGCCGCAGTACAGGTTCGGCGGAACGGTTCCGGCCGGTCGCTTTCCGGAACGGCGACGCCGAGAGGGGGGAGATCCAGCTTAGAATTGCGCGCGCTCCGCTGGGCCCCCCAGGGGCGCAGAGGAGCGAGGTGCCGTTTACACGTTTGGCAGAAACGGAGGACGGCGAGGTGTCGCGAGGTTCGGGGCTTAGGGGACGGGGGCCCATGCAAACGGGGGTCAGTCAGGGCATTGAATTTTGCAGGATCCTGCAGTGCGAGGTTCGCATTGGCCCGGGCTCGGGCGCAGGATCCTGCAGGATCTTGCAGGATCCTGCACGGCCTGATTGACCCGCGTTTGGATTGACCCGGGTCAGTGGGTTCCCGAGAGGTTTTGTTTTGGACTTGCTTGCGGCGGCACATTGCTGAACCTCCCCGGTGTCGCAGGAAGGAAAGTGGTCGCAGTTTCGCGCGTGGCACCGCCAAGGGTCAATCTGCGGCGAGGCGTACCGGTTTGCCTCTTAGGCACACCAAAGATTGTTGCAATAACCTTACCTGCGGTTTGCACTACACATTATCGTAACACTTCTGGCAGAGACCGTCTCATTTTGACATATCAGTTTTATGTTAAATGCTGCTTTTTGCGTGTTTGAACATTCTTTTGTTCGAGGCAAATTGCGCGGTAAGCCTTTGGGAATGCCGCCAGGGCGGCTGGTCCCTGTCCAAGAGGGTGGGCGAGGTTTGATTGCGAGTTGCACGCGTGGGGCACTCGGCCGCAAACCCCTGAGGTTGAACGAAACCGGCGGGGGCTTGACTTCCCAGGGGCGCAGGAAGGGGGCTACAGCTGCACGCGCGGCGGCGTCACCGATGGGGGGCGGGGGGGCGATGTGTAGCTTCGACCCGCTCGCGGCGACCCCTTGCTGGACACCTCCAGCCCATGCTCTCCACCATCCATACCATCCGATCGGATGGTGTGGGTGGGGGCATTTTTCGCTGTAGTTTCTGCATGTTTGTGTAGGTTTCATTGGGTTTCGCTGAGTTACTTGAGTTTTATCATATTTGTTGTTGCACGCATGATATGCTATTCTCAGAAAGACATCCACTTGTGAAGCGCACGATATGCGCGAGGGGCGTGGCACAAACCAAGTCTGGGAGAAACAACGAAGGAAAATATCGAGTTGCATAGTAAAAGGTACAAAATAATAAGTACATGGCATGGGCGCAGGCGCGGTTCGTTATCATAAACGGCACGCTGCTCTGGGTTAGTTTATGGAAGTATGTTGAGTTGTCGAAGTACGCTCGCGTAACCCCACCAGCCAATCCAGAAACGATGCCCAGAGGAATTGCCTCCATCAGGGAAGTGGGCAGCACACAGAGCAATTACGAACACATAGAGCCTCGTAGGATGCCTTTTGGGTTTGTTTTGGAAGCCTCTTGGAGCGTCTGGAGGGCATCTTGAGGAGGAGGAGGAGGGCGAGCAAAAAGGCCAGAGGTCGCCTGAATGACTTTCGGAGCCTCTTGGGATATCTCTTGGGCGCTTCTTGGAGGCATCTTGGGACGTCTGGGGGTTCTCTTGGCGGTCCTGGGCGGCTCTTGGGCGTCTTGAGTGCCTCGGGGGGGGGGGGCTCTTGGGAACGCTTAGGGCCCTCTTGGGTGCCTCTTGAGGGCCTCTCGGGGCCATCTAGGGGCCATCTTGGAGTCATCTTGGCGCCACTTGGGGCCTCATGGATGCCTCTTGGGGCCATCTTGGAGGAGATCGATCAAAGGAAAGGGGTTCCCTAATTCGCGCCCCCTCGGGAACCTCCAGAATCGCCTCCTGGGCCCCTATTGGGGCGCTCTTGGAGCGCTCTTGGGCGCTCTTGGGGTCGTCTTGGGGCTCTCTTGGGCCCCTGCTGGGGCTCTCTTGGGCCCTCTTGGAGCAACCTTGAGGCTTCGGATGGCCATCGGAAACGAAAAAAACGAGAAGGCAAAACGCATTGGTTAACATGGTGTTTGAATGATTTCGGCCTCTTGGGAGGCCTCCTTGGGAGGCTCCGCGGCCACTTGGAGTCGCCCTGGGGCGGTCTTGGGGCCTCTGGGAGCATCTTGGGAGCCATCTCGGGCCATCTTGGGGTATCTTGGGCCATCTTAGAGCCCATCTTGGGCTCTCTGAGGCCCCCTTGGAACCATCTTGGGCCATCTTGGACGCTCTAACTACCAGCGCCCCCCCCCCCCCCCCCCCCCCCCCACACACACCACACACGCACACACACACACACGCACACACACGCACGCACGCACGCACGCACACACACACATCACACACACACACACACACACACACACACACACACACACACACACACACACACACACACACACACACACACCCACCACCACCACCACCACCACCACCACCACCACCACAACCACCACCACCACCACCACCACCACCCCACCACCACCACCAACCACCACCACCACCACCACCACCACCCCACACACACCCACCACCACCACCACCACCACCACCACCACCACCCCACCACCACCACCACCACCACCACCCCACCACCACCACCACCACCACCACCACCACCACCACCACCACCACCACCACCACCACCACCACCACCACCACCACCACCACCACCACCACCACCACCCACACACCACAACCACCCCACCACCACCACCACCACCACCACCCCCCCACCTCCCCCTCCCCCCCCCCCGTCCAAGTCCACGGGGGGGGGGGGGGGGGGGGGGCAGGGGGAGCGGCGAACCTCTCCCCGAAGGGGAAGAAGGAGGTTGGAAGAGGAAACTCCTTAAACCACCTACGCCCAGAGGGCTGGTGGGATTCTGCCAGCTGTCCGTAGCCAGGGCGCTCGAGGCTAGCTGAAACGCCCCCATTCGGCCACCCCGAACACCAGATGGCGGGATCGGCCTCATCTGGCGATCAGCAGCTGCAGCCGCAGCAGCAGCAGCAGGAGCAGCAGCCCTCATCTGGCGATCAGCAGCTGCAGCAGCAGCAGCAGCAGGAGCAGCAGCAGCAACAACAAGAACAACAGCCAGAACAGCCAGCTGATGAAGGGCACAGGAGCCCGCTAACGACGTCGTGGTTCAAAGATGGCGTCTTCGTCAAGCAGTGGGGCAAGTGCTACGTGGATATGTGGAGGACCGTCTGTCCTCCTCCACATTTTCACGTCGGACTGCCCCCCCCCCCCTCCCCCCTCCAGGAACAGCCCGACCGAGCCTGCGAGGCCCGTGCTGTGGACGCTGACGAGCCTCGTCCACGACGCTGGCAGCGTGCAGGATCCCTTCAGTTAAAATCCCACCAGCCCTCTGGGCGTAGGGGGTTTTAGGAGTTTCCTCTTCCAACCTCCTTTTTCCTCTTCGGGTAGGGGCTTACCCCCCCCCCTACCCCCCCCCCCCTGGACCTGGACGGGGCGTTCCGCGAGCGGTCGGAGCGTCCAAGGTGGCCCAAGATGGCTCCAAGAGCGCCTCGGAGAGCCCAATATGGCCTCCAAGATGGCTCAATATAGC